CGTCGAATTTCCACGCGCCGAATTTCCACGCCCTGAATTTCTACGCGCCGAATTTCTACGCGCCGAATTTCCACGCACCGAATTTCTACGCGCCGAATTTTCACGCCCTGAATTTCTACGCGCCGAATTTCCACGCGCCGAATTTCCATGCGCCGAATTTCCATGCTCTGAATTTCCACGCGCCGAATTTCCACGCCCTGAATTTCCACGCCCTGAATTTCTACGCGCCGAATTTCCACGCGCCGAATTTCTACGCGCTGACCAATGGACCCTAGTCCATTGACTAGGTTCCCCTTGTTTCTCAATCTGACCTACTGTATCCACTCGTTACCTTGTACCTACGGAATTACCTACAGAAACATTACAATTGGCAATTCTATTACTCGGAGCACATCTCGTGACGAGTGCACCTTTCGACTATCCCCCGTACTTCGAAAACATGAAAACTTGAAAATTAGACAACTTCCAAATTTTTTCGTCAGATACAGAATAAGTGTCATTCCTCTGCCAGTTCACCCTTTAGCGTTTTCAGCAAAGGAACTTTTGAAGTAAATAAACGTTTGTCGCGCCGCGGGCGATTCAATAGGAACCGATCGGACATTCGACGATTTCAGGTGACGAGGTGATCAAGTGGAATGGCAGGTCCCTTCAGGGCAAGAGTTTCCAAGAAGTTTACGACATCATCGCCGAGTCGAGGCAGGAGCCCCAAGTGGAGCTGATAGTTTCGCGAAATTTGTCCACGGCGAGCGGTCCGGTGACGATGCCCGCAGGACCGACGCCCACGACGCCGATGAGCACCCGGAGGACCGTCGCACAGACCCAGTGGAGACAAAAACACCCGGAGTCGATGTCCGGACCGCAACAACCGCATCACAAAGGTGACTATACGCTTCTGCCTTCCGAGTCCTCCGTTTTTCTACTTCTTCTTTTTTCCACCCTCGAAACACGCTCTCAGGAACTGTTAGATCGTCTTACGAGTACCGTGGTTATTTTTGCTACGTGTATTACGGGGAAGTCTTTTTATGTACACTGGGTTCCGGTTGCTTCTTGAGAGTCGAATTTATTTCTTACGGGTAATCTTAGAACTTATTGGCTTTTGTGTTAAACAATGATCTATGAGAGGTTCTTTTTAGGGATGTAAACAGTTACATACTTGGTATGTGGACGTTCAGTTTTTAGATGTGTGGATGTTGCTTTTGTTCACGATAAATTCTTTCAAAATTTATTTATGTAATTTAAAATTAGGTTAAACACTTCTGCTAAGTTTTAAATCATCCCTGTGCTCAGATAACAAGTTCGGAGACTTGAAGATTTGGAAATTGTTAATTTAATTAGAAAATGCGTAGCCTTTCAGAAAACCACGTTGCTTGTGAGATGATCTATTTTAAGGGCCGTTCTCATTTCTTTTCTATCCCCGTCCGCTTCGAAACCGTACCTTATTTCGTAGTTTGTTCGCGTGAACGTGGAAGATGATGCTCGCATCCTGAAGCGTACGCACCTAGAACAGGCTAGAGAAGGTAGAGACGATTGCTCGGGTTCTGATAGATCAAACTTGGTAGAACTTTGAACCACAGAGAAGATGTCAACTTGTGCTTATAGAATCATGTAGAATAGAGATTTCTAGAGCTTATTTAGTCTGATTCGATTTGAGGTACTCTCTGGATCAAGATTATCTCGAGGCGAAATTGATTTGGGTAATTATGTGGGATCCACCCCGTTGATTTCAACGATGCCTTACATTTTATGTCGGTATTCGGTTTAAATGAGATGCAAGAAAATATTTTTGTGTATTGAAGATTCATTACGGGACGTAACAGTACACATCTGAGCTGTCTATCGAAGCAAAAATTCTGCTATTAATGTAACGTGGAATATTGTCTCCAGTTTCTGATTAATGGTGAACGTCATATCTTGCAAACGAATGGCAGACACTAAATGGTTCTACATAATTACCCTAATTTGCATCGGTCCCTAGCTATCTATAGCCATAAGTAAAATTAAGCGCATTGAAAACGACGCTATATTGTCACAGATTATATGATTTTTCGTATTCCAGGTCTAAAGAAATGTATCCTATGGGGTAGGCCTAATATTTTCTTTAATCTCGATCCTAATCGGTGTTACCCTGTTTGTCGGTTCACCTCCTTTCTTCTAGACCATGATCTATGGGGTGATCGCAAGAAAATCGGCGAACGAGTTCGCCGTTCTCTTGTCGAACGGGATCGCGGATTATCCCCGTAGACTGTGCACAGAAATCGACGTTCCGAATCAACGACCTCACCATTGTTTATCTCGCTTTGTGTATACTATATTGTCGATGTTTTACCGTAGAACGTAGAGAAGTAGTGCCAATGCACCCCCCTGCTAACACCGCCGTTTTACGAGCATAGTTTTATGGGAGCAACAACTTGAGAACAAGCGAGTACGCTTGTGTTAACGTTTATCGCACACCTGTGTCGTTTCGTATCCGAATTCCTCTGTACGTAATACGAATTACCCTTTTTTATAGATTCTTCGAATGCTGCATCGTCGCGATTATTGTATTGGTCGATCCTTTTCAACCTCATGACCTTGAGAACGTATATCAAGGTCATGTGCGAGGTTTCAGTGTATTTAACATAAATATAATCCCTGTAAATACAAGAGCGACAAAGTAGGTTGAAGGGATACTGTTTGTACTTGGTGTATGAAAATGTTACTTTGTTTTCGAGCAGTTCGCCCTGCACGTGATATTGCCCAGGAATATCTACCCAGAAATTTGATCACGACCAGAGGAGAAAAATTACAGTGGATGTAAACGTGCAACTCTTCCCTGAAATTCGAATCGTAAATCCCTTAACAATCAACACGATTCGAAAAGCGGTCGTAAATCGGTTCTGGACTAGCAATTTATCGGAAATTTTACCGCAAATTCCTGGAACTTCTTGCACCACCCTCGAACGTCACTGGATTTGCATCCTTACGTATTCGAAGGTTTTCTGTTCCGATAAGAGTCCCAGTGCCGCCGTTAGTGCCGAACGGGCACTTGCCCTGGGGCATAAAAATTCAAATTTGGAAATTTGGGGATTTCAGATATGGTCAAAATTGAGAATTAACCCTTTGCACTCGAAGATAATTTTACTGTTTGCAAACAGCAACTTTAAAATATTAATTAAAATGTTAAATGACTTCTTTTGAAGTTATTGTTTCTCTACTAATAATTTCCACTATTATCTATTTCACTATGTTTATACATCACATAAGCACTATTATAGAATTAATTAAATAACGCTTCTTTTAAATTATTGTATTAAATCGAATGGTGCCTAAGAGGCGCCTCTCGAGCGCAAAGGGTTAAATGTAGGATTTAGTTTGACTTTAAAGATTTAAAACTAGAAATTGGAACTAAAAATTTGAGATTTATAAATTTATAAACTGTGAAATCCTAGCGGCGGCTCGTCCCACTTACACCAGAGTCCACCTTTGTACAACACATTTTGACCCGTAGAAACAGCAGATTATAAGAAGAATCTAAAGTCTAGTCGGCACTGAACGATCACTTGCAGAATTATACGACGCGAGGCGCGAGAAACCTTCGGTTTTAGTGACCTCGCCCGGCTCGCCGGATCTACACGCTCAGGGACGCGCCAGACATCTACGCCACCCTTCTGGCAACGCGAACGTGGGTGGTAATCTTCAGCTGAAGCTGAGTTTCGATCCTATGGCGCTTCGATTGATCGTCACGTTGATCTGCGCGGCTGGGCTCACGCCCAGGAGCAACGGACAACCTAGAAATCCCTACGCCAAGATCTTCCTGCTTCCGGACAAGAGGTGAGTGAACTCGACTTCCCCGATAAAAACCACACTGGAATAGTCCACAGAAACCGAATAATTCGCATACTTATTTCGTATGCTGTTCCTTACACTCGTTACACAAATAAGTGAAATTTCGAATAGAAGTGGATCAACGTTTGACCCACATTGTACCAAACTCTGCTGTATATCCCTCTTCGTACCATGTCCCTGATCGCTATATTTTTGTAAATCTGCTATTTCATAATTTACTCAACAGAATCGAAAGAAATGTAAATTGTTAAATTGATTCAAAAAGAAAACGGCTTTAACTTGAAAACGTTGCAGTATCCACGTTGCCAGAATTAATTTCCGAAGAGTCGTTTCGAGACTTAACAAGCGAATACTAAGCCGGCAAACATTTCGTGCATTGATTTTATGTAGCAGAAAGTCTCGTTCCAAATCGACGGGTAGTTTCTTACATCGTGGGTGGTAGCATTGACGCAAAAAGGATCGAGCACAAGAAGCTCAACGACGCGGAAACTCCGACGCTCGCGTGTCTCGCGTCCGCTTATGCGCGCGAGAGACACCACCGTCACGATGTCGATGCTAAAAGCTGTCGTTCCTCGAGATAAATCATTTCTCGAAGAAACGATCGCGAGCCAAAAGATAGCCATCGTATTTGGCCGGGTTGCCAACTATTCCACCGTTTTATTTCCCATGCTCGTCTCGCTCGAGCTACCATCTCGTTAATGCTCGACATTGATCGCGGTGTCGTTCCATTTACGCATCAATTTCGCCCGCGTACGGAAGTAATCGTTACACTCGTTCACGTAACTTTTGTGTAGGACGAGCCAGATTCCCATGTTCTACTTAAAGATTGGTCTTTGCTGCGTATTTGGAATTTCAGGAATCGAGGATTGGAGATAGGGTTACACTTTACACACGATACACTACGAATTTTCAGTTCGTGGGAGGTCCATGATCCCTGTCTATTAATAGTAATTAAAATTTGGCTTGAACGCAGCGAGAAGTCGAAGAGACGCACCAAAACGTTGGCGAACACGAACGACCCTCGCTGGAACCAGACGTTCGTGTACGAGGGTATCAGGGGTCCAGAACTTCGGAAAAGGGCGCTGGAGATCACGGTATGGGATTACGGAAAGTACGACACGAACGACTTCCTGGGCGAAGCTGTGCTAGAGTTAGCGACCGCTCGGCTGGACGAGGAACCTGAATGGCTACCTCTGATCGGCCACGGTGAACATCGATACATTGGGTACGTGACCAACCACTGCTCGGTAGATTAGAACGTTTTCGTTTCTTCATGCCTCTGAGATGAGACGCAATCGCTACCAACGCATTCGTACGCTTGTTGCAACGAGAGACTAGGAGAGACTTAGAGATTGGTGACTGACGAATACTCATTGCGCTTGCGTTAGCCGCTGAATGCAAAGTATCCGACCCTTCCTAGATCTTTGATCGAGGGCTAGATCGTAGGCGGCAGCTAGCCAACCAGTCTCGCGTAAGATTTTTTTTTCTGGACCACCTTAGGGAGAAGGAATCCGTCGACGATTCGGGTAAAACGGAGGAGTCCGCGGCGCGTGTATGGCTGTGTGTGCGCGTGCGTGTGTGTCACGGTGTTCAGCAGATCCGTTCGGCTGATTCTTTTTCACCTAGCTCTTAGCGAGAAGAGCGTAGCGTCAGATCTAAATTTCGCGTTGCACAGATTCTATCAGGAGCCCGATGACATGGTGATAACTCCGGTGGACTGCCATCTCAGTCCACCGTCGACGACGTCGCGGCTGAGCGACTCTGACACTTCCGAATGCGATATCACGGACTGCGACGTCTCCAGGGAGCAAAGGAGAACAGCTGACGGTGCCAGTATAAGCAGTATCGGCAGTTCCTCCAGGTAAGAGCATCCTTCGAAATCTCTCTACCGCGCGTCTTCCAACCGTTCCATTTACGCATCAATTTCGCCCGCGTACGGAAGTAATCGTTACACTCGTTCACGTAACTTTTGTGTAGGACGAGCCAGATTCCCATGTTCTACTTAAAGATTGGTCTTTGCTGCGTATTTGGAATTTCAGGAATCGAGGATTGGAGATAGGGTTACACTTTACACACGATACACTACGAATTTTCAGTTCGTGGGAGGTCCATGATCCCTGTCTATTAATAGTAATTAAAATTTGGCTTGAACGCAGCGAGAAGTCGAAGAGACGCACCAAAACGTTGGCGAACACGAACGACCCTCGCTGGAACCAGACGTTCGTGTACGAGGGTATCAGGGGTCCAGAACTTCGGAAAAGGGCGCTGGAGATCACGGTATGGGATTACGGAAAGTACGACACGAACGACTTCCTGGGCGAAGCTGTGCTAGAGTTAGCGACCGCTCGGCTGGACGAGGAACCTGAATGGCTACCTCTGATCGGCCACGGTGAACATCGATACATTGGGTACGTGACCAACCACTGCTCGGTAGATTAGAACGTTTTCGTTTCTTCATGCCTCTGAGATGAGACGCAATCGCTACCAACGCATTCGTACGCTTGTTGCAACGAGAGACTAGGAGAGACTTAGAGATTGGTGACTGACGAATACTCATTGCGCTTGCGTTAGCCGCTGAATGCAAAGTATCCGACCCTTCCTAGATCTTTGATCGAGGGCTAGATCGTAGGCGGCAGCTAGCCAACCAGTCTCGCGTAAGATTTTTTTTTCTGGACCACCTTAGGGAGAAGGAATCCGTCGACGATTCGGGTAAAACGGAGGAGTCCGCGGCGCGTGTATGGCTGTGTGTGCGCGTGCGTGTGTGTCACGGTGTTCAGCAGATCCGTTCGGCTGATTCTTTTTCACCTAGCTCTTAGCGAGAAGAGCGTAGCGTCAGATCTAAATTTCGCGTTGCACAGATTCTATCAGGAGCCCGATGACATGGTGATAACTCCGGTGGACTGCCATCTCAGTCCACCGTCGACGACGTCGCGGCTGAGCGACTCTGACACTTCCGAATGCGATATCACGGACTGCGACGTCTCCAGGGAGCAAAGGAGAACAGCTGACGGTGCCAGTATAAGCAGTATCGGCAGTTCCTCCAGGTAAGAGCATCCTTCGAAATCTCTCTACCGCGCGTCTTCCAACTCCAACCACCGCCACCACCACCACCCACCCCCGACCGACCCCCAAACGATATACGGTATATGTATACTCCGGAGAAGAGCGTGCTATTTTCTACGGACGACGCGGCACAAATGTCCACGGCCACCAGAGAACACCGTCGTTGAGAACGTTTAACGAGATCCGAGATTCGAGCATCGATTTCGTCTTCTCCTTCTTCTTCTTCCTCTTCGAGAATACATTCGTCCTAGGCAGGCTGTCAGTAAGATCGCAAATGGAATTGTCTACGCTATAAGGTCACGAGTTTCGAACTACTTTTTTATTATTCGTCTGCTTTTTTCGTTCAGTGAACTCTTGTAATCTTAAAAAAATAATCAAAGTCAACTCCTTTAATCTTGTATATCGTCTTAACATTTTTTAAGGTAGACGATCGGTCGCATCTACGAGGATGCGCTCATTGACTTGTAGAATAATGCGATTTAGCAATTATATGAATGAGTTCGGTCTGAATCGAATGAATGATTGGAAAGCAGACTTTCCTCTAGTACAATATACCTTAATTCAACACGTTTCGCGCCATTCTTCGGTTCAGTAAAATATCAGTATTACATTTTTCCATTATATGTATTTATTCAAAGATTGCTTGTATATGTTCTTTATGTGGTGAAGTAACTGAAATATTGTTACAACAAAAGAAGTTTTACTCGATTTTATTTTTACATGACTAAAAGTTGAGATAATTGTCGTACAATAAATTCTGTTCCATAGTATGTTAATAATATATGTTCATGTACTTTGTCTTGGTTACCATGGATCCAGACAGTGATAAATAAATATTTACTGAAATATTTTATCACACTAAAATATTGAGCATCTGATGTTTTTAAACTGTAAAATTGAAACGCAGAGCATACGTTGAATACGAGATTCATGTGGATGCAAAACGTGTTTAACAAGGGGTGGTTTGTAACTCTTGATCGGTAGCGTGGAAAATCCTAGAACTAAACGTACGATTGTCGCGAATCATAGCATGTGGATCCAACAAAGAATTTGTCGAGGCATACGAAGCTGTGTCGTGCAAGATACGAGAAACTACCCTCCTGTAGGTATTACCGGTAGAAACTAGTACGACAGTAGTACTTAACTGTAACAGCTACTGTTCTCGACTTAAAGTTCCACTTACAAATCCCATAACCAGAATCCTACAGTTATAACATCCCAGCACGGTAAAGGCGACCAAAATCATCCCCGACCATGCTTCGACCGAGCCATAAAGTTACGAGGAGATTTCCGTGCATTCGAAACGTTTTGGATCGTCTCGGAATACCATCTTAATTACTGGAAGTCCATCGAGGTCGACATCTCAAAGGTGAAGCTCCGAGGATGGCAAAAAAACGGGAGAAGGAGAGAGAGAGAGAAATATAGCACGAGGTTTTTGTGTTCCACGCGGAAGACGGCGCGGCGTCACCGTGACGTAAAGACAACCACAACGTTCGCAAAGAGAGACGGAGACAATGGCAGTAGGGGGTGAGAATAAGGGAGCATCGGGGGTAGGACGGCGGGGTAAGAGAAAGAGAATTAGATAAAGAGAGAAAAGGAGAGGAGAGGAGAGGCCGAGAGCCAAGTTATAAAACTGGGCAACAAGCCAATTGACATGCCAGTTGGCCTGCAACCACCGCTGGCTGCGGAAGCCAGCCCCTGAGCCCGTATCCATATTAATATTCCAACGATGACGTCCGATCGTTATTTGTGAGTGCAAAGTGCTTTCCGCCGAGCTGCCTGATCTTCTCTATTTTTCCTCGTAAAGAAGAACCCACCGTCTGCGAACCGATCGGAGAAGAAACCGGGAAACTGGTTACAGTGAAAAACGAGGGAAAACTGTGGATTTAACCTTTCCTTGCATCGTACATCAACTTTTCATATATTCAGAATTTCTGTCCATTTCGTAGAAGCACGAGCAATAATTTTGTGCTGTTTTCGAATAGTTCTCGATCTAGGTTTGTAGTTCATAACCTCGCAAATTCGTGGCTGAAACTTTTTCAATTTCTTCGAGATTTTGATAGCGAAGGACAAGAGTTAAAAAATGCAACGAAGGGTTAAATCATCATCAACGTATCGAAACGGAAGAACATCGGATTTTCTTGAATGTTGAAGGTTCTAGTGTCCGTAACTCGGCAATCAACGTACAAGTGTGTTTAATCGAACGGAGTGCTCAGAGTGTAATGTCGCTAAAAGCAGCGAACGAGTGTCGAGTGCGATATAATCGGTGAATTTCTGGTGCAGTTTGGATTAACCGCTTGGAGGAAGATGATCGAAGACACAGGAGGTTACCGGACGGGTCGGAGGATGGAAGGAACGAACGTTCAAGAACGAAGGAATCTCCTCGCCGCTTTGTCCCGTTCGTCTGTCTCTCGGTTACCATTTCCAGCTCTAATTGGCCGAACCTTTTGCAAATTTATTCCGCGGATGATGCTCCGAATACAAGCTGCGTCCCTCGAGAGCGTTCTCTAGCCGCTTCCTCCTAGAGACAGAGAGAGTAATCCGATTGCCGGGTCGGGCCGGGTCGAGGCGGGTAACTCTGTCCCGCTTCGCTTTCGTTTGTAATCAATCGCCTTATCTGCCGACCCTCTTCGATTCGAGGGTGCTCGAATAATAATATCTGAAAGTTCCATTCGCCGGGGCTCGGCTCGTTGAAAATTGCACGACACAGCCTCGAAAATCCGAGGCAAACTTGCCGGATCTTCGTCGAAACTTTCCCTCTATCTTTCTCTCTCTCTCTTCGAACCCACCTTTTTTTCTCGTTTTGTCAGCTTTTAACGTTTCATCGAGCAACGTCTCGACACGCGGATCGTTTTCGCGCGAGGTCGGCTTGTCGTTCGACGTCGAGAATCTGTAGAAACGATTTGGAACGCCGCGTGCTTCATTAATCCACGCTGGCCTCAATCTGCGACTAGCTGACCAATTTTTTTACCTCCTCTTTTTTTATGCTGCCTACTCGCCCGTTTTCGAACTGCGTTGAAAACGCGCCGGCAAGAGTAATTGAAACGTTGCGGTACGGGGAGCCGGTAGCCATGCGTGCGGATATTTAATAACCTTCGATACAGCGCCTAACTGGATTATCCGAAAGGGTTTCACTGGTTACATTAATAAATTCATCGTCGCTCGAATAGGCGTGCGATCACTCCCTTTTCTTTCTCTCTTCTTTTGCGAGAATCCGTGTGGTTTTTCTCCACCGATCGTTTATTTAGAGAATACAGTCGTACCGAGCACTTGCGTACTAATTGGTGCCAGCGTGGTTCGCGAAAATCGAAATGAATGTCAAGTATACTCCGGTACAATGTAGGTTTCCCTTCAATAGGGTGTATGGGAAAAATCCTTCCACTTTCCAATTCACGAGATCAATCGTTGTAACCTAATTCTCAAATATCTAAACTTCTCTCAAAATTTAAAACTTTAAACATTCTTAAATCTGCAAGTATGAATCTTGAATTAAAAAAGAATCTTCTACGTTATTTTCTTTAGGGAAGCCTATCAGGGTGTACTTATATAAATTCTTAATATATAAGGGCCGATTGATAATTAAAATATAAAGACCTCCAGGCGAATTTTATGTAATATAAAGCGAGAAGGACGTAAGTCGAGGCACGACTGTAGATAGTTGTTAAAACTTGCGAGCTGGCACCGGTCAGCCGCCACCTTCGATCGATTTCCTTTGTTATTTATCTGTTCTGTTGTTTATTTTTTAGGTTTCATAATATGCCGTCAAATTATAAGCGGTACGGCTATTACAACTTATATTCTCTCCTCTCTCACGTAATCACGCAATCACATACGTTTTTCTTGCATCGTTCACCAGACAACGTTAGGAAGTCGTGTAAATTAGCGTTGCGCGGGTAGATACGCTCGTGTCAGTGATGCCTCTTTTAGAGGAGCATCGCGACCTTCTCATTGTTAGATCGGTGAGAATCGTTGAGAAGGAAACACAGCATGAAAGATCAAAGAGATTATAGCTCGATAGAAACCACGTTCCTAGAGAGGGACGATTAGAGCGCGATTCTGGCGTCGTCATCGACGAGAAACGAAAATTTTCCGACACCCTTCAGAAAATTAATCGAGAGCACTATGTTATGCACGTTCACTGTTAATTATAGTATTTTCGCACAGGCTGCGACAAAAATCCGTTTTGTTAATAAAGCTCGGAGAGGACCGTCATATGTTGGTCGAAACCTTTCAAAGATAATAACACGGTTAATTTTCATTTATATAACCATCAGAGCTATTAAACTGTAAAATCGTTAAAAAGGCAGAGTCGACGAAAAGAGTGTCAGATATTAAAATTTCCGATAATTCGCTATAACTTATATTCTAGAAATAGAAGCGTCTCTCGAATAACGTGATTCTTTATCCCTACATCGCGAAGAGTCTCTTGTTACCGCGACTAACCTTGTTCTAAAATAATATTCGTTGCTCTAACTATCCGGGGTAAATTCACGTGGGGATAACGCGGTGCTCGTTAAAACGACCATAACTGATATGTCTCTCGGACGTATTTCAGTTGCTCCCTCGCGTGCCGAGCTTTCATATAAGCTTCCACGCAGCTCGGCTTTCCGTGCTCGTCACCGGATCACCCTCTTCGATTACACGCGTTTCTTCTGTCGCTAAGTATTTCGGGGGTACACAATAGATACCAGATAATGGAACGTTTGGATACGGCAGAACCTTAATTACTGGATGAGCATGTTTTGATGAATTACGCTATGCTGTCTATTGGATGTTAACGTGGGGTATAGACACGTGTGAATTCGTTTCTATTGCCTTAGGTTTGCATTACTAAATATTTTTATACCATGTGCTGTATTACAACGCGTTGAAATACCACTTGTGTAATTAGCACGCGTTGAATTATTACAGGTTGTAGTACCACGTGTTGTACTATCACGCGCCGAATTTTCACGCGTCGAGTTACTACGCGTTGTACTACCACGCGTTGAATTACTACGCGTTGTACTACCACGCGCCGAATTTCCACGCACCGAATTTCTACGCGCCGAATTTCCACGTCCCGAATTTCCACGCGCCGAATTTCCACGCACCGAATTTTCACGCGCCGAATTTCTACGCGTCGAATTTCCACGCGTCAAATATCCACGCGCCGAATTTCCACGCATCGAATTTCTACGCGCCAAATTTCCACGCGCCGAATTTTCACGCGCCGAATTTTCACGCGCCGAATTTCTACGCCCCGAATTTCCACGCCCCGAATTTCCACGCGCCAAATATCCACGCGCCGAATTTTCACGCGCCGAATTTCTACGCGCCGAATTTCTACGCGTCGAATTTCCACGTCCCGAATTTCCACGCCCCGAATTTCCACGCGCCAAATATCCACGCGCCGAATTTCTACGCGCCAAATATCCACGCGCCGAATTTCCACGCGCAGAATTCCCATGCCCCGAATTTCCACGCGCCGAATTTCCACGCCCCGAATTTCCATGTGCTAAATATCCACGCGCCGAATTTCCACGCGTCGAGTTACTACGCGTAGTACTACCACGCGCCGAATCACTGCAAGTTGCACCACCACGCGTCAAATTACCTTGCGTCGAGTTACTACGCGTTGCACTACCACGCGCCGAATTATCACGCGTCGAATTACCACGTCTCAAATTACCAACCATCAAATTTCCACGAGTCGAATTTTCCCGTATCGAATATCCACGCGTCGAATTACTATTCCAAACACTGAATTATCACATATCGAATCACTGCCTTATTACTAAAAATATACTACGAACTAATAACGTTCTGCCGTATCCTGCGTACATGCCAGAAAAATGGAAGTAGATCAAGCGGAAAAGTAAAATGGAAGTATGTAGATCAAGCGGAAAAAACAAAATCGTTTCTCGTCGAAATGCCAGACGACAACTGTCGCCCCCGAGGCGGAAGAGATTCGAAAATCGCGAAAGAAGAACGGTAGTTTTGGGCGCAGAGATTCAGTAGGTCACCGATCACGTAGGCACACGTAGGCGTCATCGTGTCATCGCTTCTTGCATCTCCCACGTTAACGAGACATTAGATTGCGAGAGGACATGGCTTTTAGTACGCTTAGTGCAACGCGACGCATCGGCCGGGGTGGCTCCTGTTTCTTTCGTTTCGAAGCTTTACCCTCTTCGCGATTTGGGCAACGTCCAGTTTTACAACACACATGGACACACACACACGCGCGCACATAGGACCGGCACCCGCTGTAACGGTGGTTCTCAATCTTTTTAAGAATCTTCTTTTTACAAATTCTAAGATACTGTTCTTCTAAGATATGGAAACACTTTGCTTTTAATAGCTGAAGGCTAATAGCTGAAACGACTTTGATATGCTGTTTAGCTTTGTGACAACGTGCATTTAATTCCAGTTAATTTTAAACGTAAATTCTGTTACAGTCAGTTCCACGTACGTTAATATCGAAATAAGTTCCGAACAATGAAACTGTTGCACAAATAATTAATGTAGCATATATGTGAAGTTGAGAATGAAATTCGTGAATTACAGAAATGTCACGTTTCAAAATTTGAACGTTCCCAAATTAAAAATTGCAAAGTAGTTGAAAATGTAGCACGAAGTGGTCGATTGAGAACCGTTGCAGTATACTATTTGGCCGTTGTGCCCGTTGCCAGGAATCACGGAACACCGACGGGTTTTTGTTCCGAACGATTCGCCCGCGATCGATCCACGACGGTTTTTGCACGCATTTGGCTCCGCTAATCGCGAGCGGAGTCGCGAGTCCATTGTTTACGGCAGCCAGCAGCTTTTCCACTGGCGAGTAGCTTCTTGGCAACGGAAACAACGATGTCCTTCCAGCGCGAAGGACAACGCGGGGAAAATGGTCCAACAACTACTCTATGTCCGGCTTCATTGGCAAGTAACACTTTGTAAGAGATACATACATAGCTAAGCGACGTGGATCGCAAGGATATGCATTTGCACTTTGCAGATCGACCGACCAGTTCTCAGTCTGCGGAATGAGGTAATCAATTGAGGTCCATTTGTTCATTTTGACGCGACTCTGGCTTTTTTGATCAGGGACGTTGATCAAAATGTTTATTAGGAATAAGCTTTTTGAGAGACGTGGAGATAAAGTTTTTATATTTTTACATGTCAGTTTTTGTGAAATTCTTAAGTTTTCTTAGAAGTTTTATATTTGCAAGTTCGATAATTTTTAAGTTTATGAAGTTTCAAGTTTTTTTTAAATTTTTATGTCTTCAAGTTCTTTAATTTTTATGTTTATGAAGTTTCAAGTTTTCTTAAAATTTTTATGTTTTCAAGTTCTTTAATTTTCAGGTTTGTGAACTTTCAAGTTTTCTTATAATTTTTGTGTCTTCAAGTTCTTTAATTTTCAAGTTTGTGAAGTTTCTAGTTTTCTTAAAATTTGTATGTCTTCAAGTTGTTTAATTTTCAAGTTTATGAACTTTGAAGTTCTCTTAAAATTTTTATATTTGCAAGATCTTTAATTTTTAAGTTTATGAAGTTTCAAGGTCTCTTAAAATTTTTATGTCTTCAAGTTCTTTAATTTTCAAGTTTGTGAACTTTCAAGTTTTCTTAAAATTTTTGTGTCTTCAAGTTCTTTAATTTTCATGTTTATGAAGTTTCAAGTTTTCAGATTTTTTATTGCATATTTAAATTTCAGTAGGTTCTAAATTGTCTAACTTTCAAGTTGATCTTTTGATTTCTTCCACTTTCTGCCACAATTTCTAAATTCTAAACTCAGAGTCTCTGCGAGTAACGAACAGCTATAGATAGTCGTTAGGTCCATTACATTTTCCCCTGATCAAAGGAAGCCTAGGTTGCACGCGACTATACCGTAACGTCCCTTTCACCGTGTCCATTTCACGAAAAAGAAGCGAGTAACGTTCTCTCCGTATGTGGACCACGATCTAAGTGAGTAGAATGGGCATGGAGAAAGGGTAGAAGCCGATGGTTATGCATAAATGGACCTTTAATTGCCGTTGGGAGTAATTCACTCACGCGTAATTGATTGGGAAGAGCCTATTTTGAAATTTGAAATTAATGCTTTTTATCGTAAAGCTCTGTATCTTATAGAAATATAAAGTAGATGTGTTCATTATGGTTCATGAAAAAAATGGTGTTAAATGGCAATTAGAAACTGCACCATAATGGAAGCACTTGCTTCGGTTTATTCAAGTTCCAATGCGACTGCCTTTTTTATTTTTTATGGATGTTTTTTGGCACTGCATACGTTATTCATAAAAAGAGATATGTTTGATAAAAATTTCAGTTGCGCGAATTGGGTCTGTCGATAACTGTGGCACTTGAATCTGGAAAAACTTGAAACAGTTGTCTATGAGTACACTAGTGTTATGGTTTACCGTATTTGACCCTAATAGAGTCAAGAAGCTCTGACGGAAATAAATCTGTTTCACAATATTTCTTTCTGTTTTAATGTCGTGTCGAAAGAAGTTGTATTTTGAAAGTAGGTAATTTGAATGAAATAAATAAATGAATGAAATATAAGAAAGAGACATAAATCGTTTCTACTTATGATTCGATGAGTCGCATCAGAATTTGAACAAACTGTCCGCTTAACGTTGGAGTTATCCGCTACGACAACGGCGGAATAAATTGTTCCAAGGGTCAACAGAGTTAGCGTCTCGTTCAGTTTCTCACGGCAAAAGTAGGATGTAAATATTTGAAAGGAACGAGCGTTTGCCCGCTCCGGAGACTTTGACTATCGATCACGGGATCTATTTCGTGTGCCCCGGGGAACACCTAGTCCCGTAACTGTATCTGCCAAAGTAGTAGAACTCGCATCCTGTGTCTTGATTTTGTCGCTTTTCCGATTTGGTATTAACGTACACACACGTCGGTCGGAAGACGCGAGTGCAACGCAGCGTAGAATGCATATTTGATGAAGCATCGCCAAATGAGAACCAGCCTGGCCGCATGCACTCTGTAAATCTTAGCGCGAAAGATCACAGCACCCGATTATCCCTAACCCCGAAACTTTTTAACCGATCGAGAACGGTACACGACGATCACTAATTGGCGAAAAAAATGAACGCATGCCGGAGCAGCCACTATTCTAGCCCCCCGCCGGAAAGGGAACTGTGCCTCGACGGGGAGCATCGAAGTCGAAGGGACATGTCGCCGCAGGGCCGTAAACGAGCCGCCCTTATGATACGAGACCAACCAGCATCTATTTCTGGTTACCAGCCTTATCGCAAGGTGAGATACAGTTTCACTAATTTTAGAGTACGTTCATAAGTCATGGGATATATTTTATTTTATATTAATATAATACAAAATCTAACTCAAGGATAGTTTATTCGTATGTGGTGATAGATATTATACTTCCATGTATTATATTTTCACTCATTATGTTTCTACGCAGTTGTATTTTTCGCGTTGTGTTACCACGTGGTGCATTGACAAATATTACATTGCCACGCGTTGAAATACCACGCATTCAGTTTACTACATATCCAATTTACTACGCGTGACATAACTACGCATACAACTTACCACGCGTGACATTACTACGCATATAACTTACCATGCGCAGCATTACTACGCATCGAACTTACCACGCGCAGCATTACTACGCATATAACTTACCATGCGCAGCATTACTACGCATATAACTTACCACGCGTGGTATTACTACGCATCCAAGCTACCACGTGCAGTATTACTACGCATCCAACTTACTACGCGCAGCATTACTACGCATCTAATTTACCACGCGCAGTATTATTATGCATCGAATTTACTACGCGCAGTATTACTATGCATCGAATTTACTACGCGCAGCATTACTACGCATCGAACTTACCACGCGCAGCATTACTACGCATCCAATTTACCACGCGTTGAATTACCAACCCTCGAATTACCACGCATCTAATTTACCACACATGGTATTGTTATTCATCCAATTTTCCACGCGTCGAATTGGCACGCGCTAAATTACTTCGGACCGAATTCCCACGCACCGTATTACTGCGCGTTGAATTACCACGCGCTGAATAATCATTTGCCAAATTACCACGCGCCGAATTCTCATTTGCCAAATTACAGCGCGCCGAATTATTATTTGCCAAATTACCATGCGCCGAATTATCATTTGCCAAATTACTACGCATCCAATTTACCTCGCACCAAATTACCACGCACTGTACTGTCAAATATTAGATTAGTACGCGTTGTACCACCATACGTTATATTTCCACGCATCATTCTTCCATGCATTGCACTTCATTTAAAATTTCAAAGCCTCAAAATATAAAAATTCAAAAGTCCCAAAATTCAACCTTCCGAAAGTTCCAAAGTTCCAAAATTAATTTTCCCGAATTTCACACTGCAATTTTACATATTTAACACCGTAAGAGTAACACATCCCATGACTTACGAACTAGCTCAAAGGTTTGCACAGAATTTAACGATCGGTTCGTAGAATCCGTAGCGGTACTTCCGCCATCATCGACCACGTAGCAAACTTCGAATCGACGTTTCTTGAAAGCGTTGTATATTGTTCCGTATTTTCGGATATAATCGACGTGAATTTTGTTTGTTTACGATGGAAATTGACGGTGTTAAATTTGTGTGATGCCCAGGAGGATATACATCGAGGAATGATGAGCCACAGGTCGCACAGTGCAGCGCCTATGGACTCTCCGAGCCTTCGGTACCGAGGAAGGTCTCAAAGTCCCACAGGTCATCGCTCTCTGTCTCCGCCTGAACACAGATCCATGCCCTACTCGCACGGCTACGTGCCACCAAGGTATATCAATTGTCCATGGGAATTTCGCTAATAATCCACTCGATAGTCTGAATCATTTCTCACAGTCGTATATAATAACTGTATTCCAGGGAACGTTGATAAAACGTTTATGTGTCGAACTTGAAACTTCAAATTGATACATAGAGTAAACGTAATATTATTGTTCTATAATTATCATAATTATTGTTGCAGTTATTTTAAATATTATAACATAATACTGGGTATAAAAGCATCCATAGAATCAGTCATCATAATCTCTAAATTCTATTTTATACTGTAAGGCACTTTCATATTGTGAAATCCAGACTATCTATTTGAAGATATGTGTGCTCATAAAACCATGGTAGATTCAAGACATCTTGATGTGTAATAGTTTGATAAGACGTATGAAGAAGATTTTTATTTGCACGTAGATTTGGCTCGAGGTCGGCAACTGCCACACCCACAGGAAGTCCCAAGAAAAGACAGTTACCTCTGATCCCGGCAGCTTTGAAAGAAAGGGCTGCACAGGACCTCGAGGACAGGGCCAGATTTATGAGACACCGTAGCAAGCAGGTGCACACGACGTACAGGGGTACAGGCATAGGTGAGCCTCTTTTCTTTCTCGAGTACGCTTAAGCGTTTGATACGATGGAATTTCAATACAGAGGACCACGGAAAATAACGACGAGAGTTCGTATAAACGTGCACCTTAATTTGACCTTGTTTTCGAACTACCCAGGGAATTTTGTGTTCCGCCAACGAATAGACGTCGGAGAACTCTGTAATGGAACGTGATTAAAATATAGACCGCTCGATGCAAAACTGGCTAAAATATATTTATACGAGCTACTTCGTTCGGGAATGTGGATGGGTCTCGTAATTTTACTGTTTGGAGAATGTTTCAAATTTTGAAATTTGAAGTTTTGGTCAGAATCCTTGAATTGCTAAATTTGTATAGAAGTTGTTGACCATTTTCGAGTTTCATAAATTTTTGGATTTGAACACTTTCAAGTTCTTTATATTATATACTTTATATTTTAAGTTCTCAAATCTTCACATATGTGAGATTTCCACATTTTCAAATCTTCACACATGAGAGTTCTCCACATTTCCAAATCTCACATATGAGAGTTCTTCACATTCCCAAATCTCACATATGAGAGTTTTCCACATTCCTAAATCTTCACACATGAGAGATCTCCACATTCCCAGATCTCACATATGTGAGTTCTCCACATTCCCAAATCTTCACACATGAGAGTTCTCCACATTCCCAAATCTCACATATGAGAGTTCTCCACATTCCTAAATCTTCACATATGAGAGTTCTTCACATTCCCAATCTTCACACATGAGAGTTCTCCACATTCCTAAATCTTCACATATGTGAGTTCTTCACATTCCCAAATCTCACATATGAGAGTTCTTCGCATTCCCAAATCTTCACACATGAGAGTTCTCCACATTCCCAAATCTCACATATGAGAGTTCTCCACATTCCTAAATCTTCACACATGAGAGATCTCCACATTCCCAGATCTCACATATGTGAGTTCTCCACATTCCCAAATCTTCACACATGAGAGTTCTCCACATTCCTAAATCTTCACATATGAGAGTTCTTCACATTCCCAAATCTCACATATGAGAGTTCTCCACATTCCTAAATCTTCACACATGAGAGTTCTCCACATTCCCAGATCTCACAGATGAGAGTTCTCCACATTCCCATATCTTCATACATGCAAGTTCCTCACATTCTCAAATCTTCACACATGCAAGTTTTCCACATTCCCAAATCATCACACATGCAACTTCTCCACATTCCCTAATCCTGTCACTTTCAAGTTTGCCAAATTCCCAAATCTTCACTTCCCCGAATTTCTAAATTTCCAAAGTTGGCTTGCTTGACCCACCCAACCCAAGAAATGCCCCTCACATTTTCATCCCTAATCACTGAAGAGAATCTATGCATTTTTCAGGTTGGGAAAGACACTATAGCGGATTGTCGGATTCGGATCTACCCTCGATAGATCACGATCCGTTATCTTTGCCGCACAGTCACGGTTATCGAATGCACAGACCGCGAAGGGGACATTTAAGTCCCGACAAAGACGTACTCGGGGATCTCGGTGACTCTGATATAGAGAGTATAGCCTCCGTGACGAGTAGTGCCTTCAGTACGCAATCGGAACGACCACGTGGATCTAGGGGACTAATGTGAGTATAGTTCGATGTCAATTGTATTATAATTTCGAGTCGATGACCTTGCATTTCGAAATCAGTGTACAAAGCGATACGAGTTCCATAGAGAAGAAAGTATTCCCTTTAGAGGAGACAGCCATCCATTGTACCATTTTCTCTCTCTTTTATATTTATTTCTTACTCGTTACATTCGCGGTACTTTTTTCTTTTTTATTTGTCCTCTGTTTCATAGATTGCACATTTGAAATAGTGTTCCAAGTTGATTATGCTTTGAGGAGGAGCAACACCGCGGCGATCGAGGAATAACTCGTTTTTGTAAATTCACGACGTACTTGTTACGCGTAGGACATTTCCGTTTTTACGTATACAAGTCTCCTGGCATATTTCATAGACTAGTTCGTTAGCACTAGCCTGAAATGATCTTCACTTTTTAATGAAGAGATTGCAGTTCATAGATGGCTCGAAAGGTTAAAATATTTTTCTACAGGATCACTTCGTGTATGCGTAAAGAAAAATGATCTACACATAACGTGTAGTCATAAGTTCACAAAAACAGTGTATTTTTAAGGTTGTTGCAGCGTTGATCCCCCTTAATCCGTCCATGGGTCATGTAGATCGCGCACAGAATGGAACATTTGATGGCTTACCTTCTCATCGACGATAATCCCTGAATTAAATGGACATTGCCGAATGAAATGACACCCCGTAGTTGCACTATCTCATTTTCTCCCCCTGCCTGCTTGATAGACTCCCGATCCCGTTCCGCTACTCTGTCTATCTCTCTGTCTTTTTAAACATTCTACTCGTTAGTTGTCTAGATTGCACCTCCTATGCACCGTGTCAATGTCCATTTAATATTGTCCCATTCTAATAAAGCAGGGATTGGTGCGTGGCGTTGGTCGAACGGCTAGGTGTACCTACGTTTAAACACGTCACAATTTGTTGCATATGTATGTCTTGAGTGTTGATCACTGAACAGAATCAATCGTCGCACGTCCTACAGACAACCTGCATTTATTTGTTCGGCGAGTGACAATCCGACCGGTCAAATTCTCAAAAAACCAGACAGAAAAAAAAGAGGAAACGCGTTCGATCGATCGCGAACGCGCGAGTAGAGTCGTTTGTAAAATTGCAAAGATGTAAAAGAGAAAAGAAAGAAAATGAAATGAAAGAAAATAAAAAGAATGAAGAATGGGCTAAAAGAATCGTAAAATGTGAATCGCAGATCCGCTAAAACTCTATATGAAAAACATTGTTTGCAGACCGACAGTTAAAAACGTTTTAATACCCGGTGTCATATCCCCTATGCCCCTGCCCCCTAGGCGCAATAGGCGCAGGCACAGACTTAGGGTACCCTGCAGCGAATGTCACTGTCCGAACAACAATCCCACCAAGCCCAGGAGCAACAACCCAAGCAAGCACAATCCCACCCCGCATCCCCTCGTACGGAGCAAGTCCGCAGTGGTGCGCTCGTTGTACAGAAAGATGCGTACGCCGTTCACGAGGTCGCAGACCGTCGACGAGAACATGCTGAGATATTACAGCCCGGAGACCAGCGAGTACAGCGTCTCCGAGGGTTACATGCTCAAGCCAGAGGAGCTAACCGGTAGCTCCAAGAATCGTATACCGGAGATATACGTGGAGGATTGCCTTCAGGTCGACTTCAACGATCGTCTCATCGAGAAGTTTCGCGACAGGTACTCGTCGCCGTACCTCCTGGACACGGGTATGCGTAGACGATCGCGTAGCTGGCAGGAACGTGCCACGGCCAGATCGACCAAGCCTAGACAGCACCACCATCTCTTCTCGAGAGGCTTGCACGATTTGACGGACGATCTCGGTATCAGGAACCTGGACATTAGCATACGACCGCGCAGGTCCTTTCTGTTCTCGAAAGCCAGGAGCTTCGACTACGACGTTCTGCACGATACGTACGCTGATCGTTACAGTTTTGGATTGGGCGCTGGTCTGCTGTCTCGTCGCGCCAAGAGTTTCGAGTACGACAATATCTCGAGCAACATATTCAGCGACGATAGCTTGAGAACCGCCAGGCGAAAGTTGAAAAGAAACCTGGCCATCAACGACGCGGGATACGGCGATAAGATACCCGCGCTCGGCGATCAGAGCAAATCGTACTTCGACTCGAACGGCGACGACAAGGTACCCAAAAGTGTGCTCAATCGCGACAAAAATTACGACTACCTGCTGAAACAGGATCATAAACCCTTCTACGGTTACGATTCGGAGTTCAGCTGCGGAGAGACCGAGATCTACATGCCGCGTCAGAACATCGATCCGAACCTCGCTCGAAAGACCTACCGCTCGCACGAATTGACCGGAGAGTACTCTTTCAGCAGCGACGATCAGATCGGTCTGAGAAACGTCCTCGGCAGGGAGGATCCTGCCAAACGGAAGTACATGGACTCGTCTTTCCACGAGCACGATTCCGCGTTCGGCAGAGACATGTCGGAGAAACGAACAAAGAATCTGGACAGCGACATCTGCGACTCGACCAACGATCACATTTACTGCAGTATCGACGAAGCTTTGGCCTCGGCGGACGGTTACGGTCGCGAAAGAGACTTGACCTGTTCCCCTATCCACGCCGATATGGAGCGCTACGACAATCAGAGACCCAGCAGTCGGTCTCGAAGAAGAACGAAAAGCAACGAGTCCTACTTGGAGAACGGCTACGACGGCTACGACTGGGACGTGGATTACGACGAAGGCTTCGTCGACAGAGGTAAAATGGAGGACTACGATCAGAGACTGTACGATTACGAAGACGAGAATCTACAGGCGTCGAGGACGGACGCGCCGATGTACGAGGACGAGTACTACGACCGAAGAGAGGACACGCGAGGAAGTGGTCGCAAAAGGAGAACCTCTAGATACGCGGACGAGTACTTCGACGACTACAGGGACTACCGTTCCGCCGAGGAGTACGATTACCAAGCGCACAGTGGTCCAGTGTACAGGGACTACCAAGACAACACGGTACCTCGAAGAAGGCGACGGAGGAGCAGAAGAGAGAGCAGAGAAACGAGCATCGGCGTGTACGAGAACCTGCAACCGTATCGAGACACGGTCTGCTCCGGCAAAGACAGTCTTACTGTTCCGAGCTTCACGGAGAGCAAGAGAATGATGCTGCAGCGAGCGGAATCGTCGCCCGTTCTGCGCTCCGACGAGGAATTAAGCTCCGCGGAGAGAGCGGAAAGAGCCAGACGGCTGTACAGACGCAGAAGGAACAGCAGCTGCCCCGAAGCCAGAGAGATCCGATACTACGATACGCCTCGAAGGAAAGACGAAGAGAGAAGCACGAACTTTATTCTGGACTCGGACGAGGAGTTCGGTTCGATGGAGACGGTCGTGTGCGCGGACTGTTTCCGTCAAAAGGGCGATACGGGTATGGTTAGCGACGGTAGAGCGGGCGGGTACTACGATGAGGGACGGGAGAGGGACAGTTGTTACGTAGACTCGAGATACGACTACGAGGACACTCGAACTCGCGACTATCCGGAAACTTGCGAACTGGCTAGGTCGGGATCGTTACGGTCGCAGTATCGGGGTAGGCGCAAGAGTAGTTGTCCAGAGTGTCGGGAGTTGGCGATGTCCTCGGAGTTAGGTAGGTCCGGTTCGATCTCGCGAAAGACCGAGGATAGGAGGCCGTCGATAGAGTCGAGGCACACTAGGTACCGTAGACGAAACAGCAGTTGCCCGGAGGCTAGGGACCTCGAGCTGCTCGAGAAGAGGCAGCAGCAGCAGCGTAGCCAGCAACAAGCCCAACAACAACCGAGTCAACAACAGCAGCAGGGTAGTAAGAGGAACGTAGCGATCAGCGATACCCTCGAGTACTACGAGTACTCGATGGAGAGCGAGAGCCAGTGCAGCGAGAACTGCGGATTTGGCCCGTGCGATCCGCGTAGGCCCCGTAACCGAGCACCCCACCCCGGTAACGCTAATTCAAGTCTCTTTGATTCCCAAACCGCTACCTCCGACACTGCTAAAAACTACCACCCACGGGCCGTCGATCACCACGATACCTCACGAAACACGAAAACGTCGACGCGCGACAACCTCGACGAATCCAACACCGTGGCCCCGTCGTCTACCCCCCTGACGTCGTCCATTCGACGCCGTTCGCGGAAAAAATCCGCCCATGACACCGCCGCTGAACAACGCGACGACGACCCGCGGGATCGCCGATCCTCCTCCATGCCCGAAAGCAGCGAGTACAGCGGACAGTCGAGCTCGTACGAAAAGACCTCCAGGAGTCAGGCGGCAGATAACGAGCACGACGAACACGCCAAAAGGGGCCAGTTCACTAGGAGTCTTAGCAACACCGATGCGCCGCAGGACGAGAAAGTTGGTAAGTCTGGCTGGTTATATCTACCAGTCTTCAGCTCTTACTGAGCTTATAGGACCGGGGAAAGTTACGAAATCGGTCACATAAACGGACTTCCTTCCTTTGCTTGATTCGCAAAGATCAAAGGTGTTACTTGAGAATCTTTAAGTTTCGATTCGAAAGTTTCGTAGCTTGAAAATTTGTGAAACTTAAATTTCCTTTCGCGAACGTGTGGTCCTTCTAATCGATCATACTGTATAGCGTACGTTTCGCATTCATACGATTCTCATTGTTCAGACGGTAGTTTGAGCGATACGGCGATCGGTCTGAACGTTGAAGACTCCTCGAGGAGGGGTCGTAAGAGTTCTCCCGGGAGTAAAAGCGGAAGCGGAAGTAGTAGCGGTGGCGGAAGCGCGGTGCAGTATCAGTCAGGTCTGGGGAAGAAGAGTAACAGCACCAGTCAACTGTCCGCCACAGGTAACACATCGTCACACTAGCCGTTTCTGCTAATTCCATGACTAATCGTTTCGTACGGTACATTGTTCGCAAAATTCAATAATTCGATCATTCAGTTCTATCGATAATTCAGTAACTCTATCACATTGTTCTTGCGCGATTATTAGACTACCTTCTCTATTTCTTCTTTCTGTCCGAAGCATCTAGTCAGTCTCTTTGTAAAATACCGATAGTTCATCGAGTTCTAGCGTAGCACTAGCTTAGCGTCATTAGTCAATAGACACTACGATGTGCTCTCGCTACTGCGTACCAAATTGGACTTGAATTTTGAAAGCAGTGAGCTTATTAACGTGACTGATGTCTGAGACTTTGTTAATAGAATGACTGATAACAGAAACGGAGAAATTAGGATTGATATTGGACTAATACAAGGAAATAGAACTTGAAGATCGCGGGCCGTCGATCACCACGATACCTCACGAAACACGAAAACGTCGACGCGCGACAACCTCGACGAATCCAACACCGTGGCCCCGTCGTCTACCCCCCTGACGTCGTCCATTCGACGCCGTTCGCGGAAAAAATCCGCCCATGACACCGCCGCTGAACAACGCGACGACGACCCGCGGGATCGCCGATCCTCCTCCATGCCCGAAAGCAGCGAGTACAGCGGACAGTCGAGCTCGTACGAAAAGACCTCCAGGAGTCAGGCGGCAGATAACGAGCACGACGAACACGCCAAAAGGGGCCAGTTCACTAGGAGTCTTAGCAACACCGATGCGCCGCAGGACGAGAAAGTTGGTAAGTCTGGCTGGTTATATCTACCAGTCTTCAGCTCTTACTGAGCTTATAGGACCGGGGAAAGTTACGAAATCGGTCACATAAACGGACTTCCTTCCTTTGCTTGATTCGCAAAGATCAAAGGTGTTACTTGAGAATCTTTAAGTTTCGATTCGAAAGTTTCGTAGCTTGAAAATTTGTGAAACTTAAATTTCCTTTCGCGAACGTGTGGTCCTTCTAATCGATCATACTGTATAGCGTACGTTTCGCATTCATACGATTCTCATTGTTCAGACGGTAGTTTGAGCGATACGGCGATCGGTCTGAACGTTGAAGACTCCTCGAGGAGGGGTCGTAAGAGTTCTCCCGGGAGTAAAAGCGGAAGCGGAAGTAGTAGCGGTGGCGGAAGCGCGGTGCAGTATCAGTCAGGTCTGGGGAAGAAGAGTAACAGCACCAGTCAACTGTCCGCCACAGGTAACACATCGTCACACTAGCCGTTTCTGCTAATTCCATGACTAATCGTTTCGTACGGTACATTGTTCGCAAAATTCAATAATTCGATCATTCAGTTCTATCGATAATTCAGTAACTCTATCACATTGTTCTTGCGCGATTATTAGACTACCTTCTCTATTTCTTCTTTCTGTCCGAAGCATCTAGTCAGTCTCTTTGTAAAATACCGATAGTTCATCGAGTTCTAGCGTAGCACTAGCTTAGCGTCATTAGTCAATAGACACTACGATGTGCTCTCGCTACTGCGTACCAAATTGGACTTGAATTTTGAAAGCAGTGAGCTTATTAACGTGACTGATGTCTGAGACTTTGTTAATAGAATGACTGATAACAGAAACGGAGAAATTAGGATTGATATTGGACTAATACAAGGAAATAGAACTTGAAGATGGAGAAGAACTTATTTTCACAACGAGTGTTAATGTACTACATGTATGCGTCAGAATAATAAAAAAATACAGTTATAGAATTTTGAAGAAAGATAAGATGCAGCAGAAATATCGAGGGTACACCGTAGAACAGTGATGGGCTGCACCTGCAAGGGGCACGAAGCAAGTTGCGTGCACTCGCGAGCACCGATGGTAGTCGATTTCCAAATTTATAAATTTTCAAAGTGCCACACTGTTAAAAATCGAAAATTTTGAATCTCGACCTCGTCGATGTCCGCAATGAGAACGCCATTGCCGTAATGTCTCGAGCAGTCACTTAATCTACCCATCACTGTTGTAGAAGAGCAGAAAAATCCCATTAAACGGGACAATATGTACATTCTAATCGTATTCTTGTTTTCTCCGCCATCCCTCCTCATCTCTATCCGCCTCTCTTCGACATGAACACATTCACACTTTACTTCTACCGACCAACTATCTCTCGACTGGCCTGGGGACCATTCACGTCATCGATCTGCACCCACCTGCACGATATCTCATCTTGGCGGGCAATCGTCGCTCGCGCGATCGTGTCACGGGACAACACTCGACGCGGATCATCCCGATCGATCGCTGGAACGATCGCTCTACTATTTATACGCAAAAATACGACCTCGTACAAAAACAAACTACACTTCGTATATTTTTCTACACGCACTTAACATACACGCGCATATATTTAAAAAACCACGTGTGCGAGACACGCAACTGTACAATCAACGATCTACCACCACCACAACGAACAACAACAACAATACTACTGGTACAACCAAAACAAAAATACAATATCACGTCACGCAAAAAACCATAACATACCACGTGCGTCTGTTGGTGGTACATGCGTGGGCGACGAAGGACGAAAACGGAGGCTAGGATTCGGGAAGAAGGGCAAGTCCTCGTTTACAGTTCATAGGAGCGAGGAGGTGTTGCCCGAGGACACCGCCAGCGGAAGGAGCGGACGACAACCGAGTTCCGCGAGCAGCGACGGCGAGGGTAGCGGCGACGGGGACAGGTCCGAACACCCTGCAAAATAATAACACCCTCTCATTCTTTTGTCCGTACCCCCTTTCAGTTCTTCATCCCTTATGTTCGGTGCCAGGCGTCAATGAGATTATCGCTGTTCAACAAATTTTAATTCTGCTTTTGTTATTTGTTATGGGATCTTTTGCGCTGATTACGCTGCTGTATTTTCATGGATTATATTATCAAATTTGTTTTTCATGCGTTTATATGCTGATTCTCTGGAGGTTGTTTATTCTCTGTGGTAATAATAATAGTTCTACTAATAATGATGATAATTATGGGACAAGTTTTGTATTAGAGATAACGTGTGAATTCCAAATAACATGAATGGTATTCTAATTTAGTCTGAACATCTGCATGAAATTCTATAACATATTGAAACACAAATTGATTTGTTGGACAGTGTTATACTCGGGTGCAACGTAGATTTCTTAAGAGTGAAGTTAGACCTACACTTGCTATCGATTTCAAAGATTTATCTGGAAAAACTTACAGAAGTTATTATAGTCGACTTACAGAAAATTTAAATCCATCAAAACTAGATCCAGAGAATGATCTCCATGTACGAAATCGAAAGCGAATGATCTACCCTAACTCTGGAATCTGTTTCACCCAAGAGTTGTCTCTTGACTCCTCGGTTCAAACGACACTCGTTCAGATCGTGAGAAGGATTTTCTTCGAAGCTAGGCGACCTCTTCGATATAATTACCAATGTTTGTTCGATCGACAGAGGATGTCGATTTTCACGCAGTGAGCCTTCGGCGACATATGTGAGTACAAGTTGCGGAGAGACACGGCAAGAAGAACGACAGCTAACGCGAGCGGTCTGCGACAGTTAACAAATCAGAACAACGAAACACGCAGCACATTACTCTTTAGAAAGCAGTTGCCGCTTTAGAAAGGGGAATACGACAGACGATTGTGACTATGAATTATCAGAGACTCAAAGAGTGTAATAATTACCAAAGTTAGCAAAGTTGTAAATAATTTTTGTAACTAAAATAGTCGCTAATTGATCTCCGTTGACCCCTCATGCTAGATTAGAGACTGTTTCTTCGTAAATAGTAGCGATACGTAACTCTTAGAGGAACGTTTGCACGAGTTTCCTGAGCTGAAGCGATCGGATCTTCTATCAGTTTTCTTTTTTGCGTAGAGAATATTGCAAAGCAGATTCGAAGAAATTAGTACGATATTGCATCTGCCGGGCTCAAGAATCTTACGTATTTGCTGCTCAAGTACATTTACGGGCTATTCGTGATCGTAAAATCGTATCGGATGCTGCTACCGCGGTGTCTGTTTTGTACAGCTTTTGAAATTTTGTTAGATCAAGACACGTGGTCAACTTGTTGAGACTCCATTGACGGTAGGTAAGTTGACCACGCGTTGTTATTATTTATTTATTCTTAGAAGCCGCTGTTGATACGTGCTTTGGGCGAGGTTATCCGCGCCCACTTACGGCTTTTCGTTTATTGATGTCTTCGAGCGTTGCCAGTGTTCTTATGCGCATCTCTGTATATTCTATTCTTTATAATTATTTGGACACTGCTGCAAGAATTTCGAGCAAACTTTTATTACTTGTGTAATCATTTTTATGAGATGGAAGTTCTGAAGTTTCGAAATTGCTAACTCCCAAGGGTGTAAAATATTTTTAAATTCCGAGTTCCGGAGTTCAAAAGTCTCAAGGCTTGAAAATTACTAGATCCCAACGTTCTAAAGTATCCAAGTCTCACGATATCAAGGCTTGCTATATCTCAAAGTTACAAAGTTGCAAAATTCTAAATTTCTGAAGCTTCAATCTAGAATACTAATTGCAATTATTCAACAACATATAAATGTATAAAAAGTAACATGCTGTCTATTGACTTGCAATTTTAATACACAATTCACATCACTCTGTCAACAGCAGTAATCTGAATCTATTCAACACGTTTACGTTCAGAAAGTGTCCAAATATTTATGGATGGTAGTGTATATACATACATAAGTATCAATATGTCCGTTACAGATACAAAAACGTCGTTCAATGTAGCGCATAGTCTCGTACACTTTCCCTGCGGTCAAACTTGCGTACTTACCGCGTAAGCTTACGTTTAACGTACTATTAGCACGTAAGTTTACGTTACCAGCAGGATCTGTACGAAAGACTCGCTTCGTTCGTAGATGTACGAAACGATCGAATTTTCTTAGAGTTACACTTTTGTGTACACGAACAACACGGTACATATACACCACGACACTGATCGATACTTGCGATAACCACTTAGCTGCAGCGAATTTTCGATAACAGAACCATAGATGTGTTTTACAGCCTTTCTGCCCGCTTCTCTGATTACAGGTGCAACACGACGGGCCACGATTTATGGAAACAATTTAAGTTTCGGTTCTTAATTACATGTCCTATCGTACTCTTTCAGACAACCGAGGATTTAACGCGATAAACAGCGAAATTCCCAGGTTCACTATTTAGGTATGGGCAGTGGACACAGCAGTGGACAAGGACTCCGTGAAGGTTGAAGAGTGAGGAGGTTCCTCCACTTTTCAGGTTCTCGGAGTCATAGGTGATTAGGCTTCCCTTAGTTAAGGGGAGATGTGGTCTGAACTGGGAGGGTTCTTTCTTTCAGGGGAGGGTTCTTTATAGATTTGGTATTTTGCCTTGGATTTTTCTAAAATTGGAGGGTCTTGTTATCCTTAACTAGAGGGAGCCTACGTGTTTTAGTGCACATCCTTCACCATTCCTATATTGCATAGTACACTATCGAAGTAGGACTTAGCTACTATATGACACAGCAGTATCCTTTGATATCCTTCCTCACTAACTCCATAGTACTTGGACCCATCCATAAGTCCATCCGTAACAGAGTTAAATGTGAGCTCATAACTAGTACCGACATGGGTTGCCCGTAGCAAGTTCACATCCTACTATGAACCCAATCGAGTTATCGAAATATTGTTCTCATCTAACTATTCTTACTTTTGTCTTTCATCAACGATCATTCATCGAGGTGTGCGTGTCCCGCCCGGGGCGCGAGAGTATGTGAGAATGAAAGAAAAAGAAAGCGTGGGTTTGAAATCGAAGAGAGAGAGGGAGAGAAAGAGTTAATCCGAGATAGAGATCGAAATAGAATAATCGAAAGAGAAAAAGCCGTGCGTCAACCACCTGGAGCTGGGATGAGAGAAAGGGCTGCGGCAGAACGCGGTGCGGAAACCTAAATGAAAGACTCTATAAAGCTTTAGCTGGTTGTTTCTTGTTTGGTTTACAACGCAGAGTGCGGTATCGGCGGGATCTTCCTCGGAAGTGGTAGCTCGGAGGCACGTGTCGGTTTATCGAGCCGGAAACGCAACAGCACCCCGAGCAGCATACAACGTTCCGAGGAGATTGTACCCTATCAACGCTTTGAATCCGGAAAACAGTCGGGATCGGTGGCCAGTGACACAGCCGGAAGTCTCAACTCGATCTCTAGTTCCGAAGGAAGCTCGTAAGTAGTGGCCTCCACCGACCGATTCTGCAACCGGAACTGCCGAGACTCCTTTGCTGTCTCTTTCAACTCTTCCTACTCTCTCTCTCTCTTTCTCTTTCTCTGTCTTTCTCTTCTTTCTCTAGCGGTCTATGTACAGCGGAGTCTCGCTATATGGCCCTGCACCGGGCAGTTGTGGACTGCAACTGCTGAAGTTTGCAAATTTGGGAATTTGCACGTTCGAAAATCTGAGAGGGAACTACTGAGAACTTGGAAATGAGAGCTTGAAACTTGGGAGCTCGTACACACGTTTCAGAATTCGAGAACTTGTTTTGAACATTTGAGTCTTTGATATTTGGGGATTTAGAAGAGTAGTAATTTCGAAACTCTGAAATGTAGGAAATCTTGCATGCTTTAAAGAAGTTCATGTACAAAAGAGAATTCCTTCAAGGGCCATATACCGGGACTGCGCTCCATCTCGGAAGCTATTCTCTCTCTGTACAGCAGGATTACTCGAGATTATATCGCAAAAGTTCTAAAAATTCAAATAAACTGGATTAACCCTGCTAACTTCGTTTCCACGCTCTTTCTCTATCTGTCTCCTCTATCTTTATCTTTCTCCTCCACTGTATCATTTGGGACAAATTTTGTATTGTTTAACGCACAGGAAACCCGCGAACGTGAAACGTGGATCGTTTTGTCTTTCAACGTGTGATTGAGCTGATGTGTATGCCCAGCATTGATGTACATTGTTTTGCTCATTCATGCTTTATTCCTCCTGTTTTTACTTTCCGTTCACGTTACGTCATTTTCCTCTTTTCTATCAGAAATATTCATTGCCGTTATTTTTCCAATCGTTTCACCAGAAGAACTCTTCGATCCATGTCCGGTTAATCGCGAACGAGGAAGGAGCAACAAGATATATTTGTCACGAGTGCAAGCACACGATAATAAATGTTTCGTATCGAAGTTGATTCATTTTCTTCTTTCGTTTGTTACGTTTTTACCATGACTTTTGTGTATCGATGTGATATGATGTTGTCGGTGTTATCGTCGTCTTGGCTTGTTGCTTGGCTAAATGATCATGCGTCCATTACGTCGGTACACCCTTGTATGTCTACCACGCACACACACTTTATGTATATATGTTTCTGTCATTCCGAACTTCGTCCTTATCCACGATGACCAGGGGCATTCATTTTATATGCGGTAATCCACTACACTTTTAAACGAGTGTCTACCTTATTCCGTTTGTTTATAGATCTACCCTTATGTCTGGAGAAACGCCAATACCAAACAGTGTATATAATATAGTTAAACTTGTATTACAATCGCGTGCAATGTAGGCTTTCCTCGATTAAAAGGAAACGTGAAGGACCCGATCACTAATTTTTACTCTTTTGATACCAGGAGAGGAGGGTAAACTGCAGAAAATGAGGGCTCCTTTTACTTTTAGTCGAAGTCTATGTTGCATCGCATGTATCGAGATAGGCTTCTCGGGAAAATGACGATATGAATTCCTTTTTCGAAGCCTTCCCATATCGCCATTTTCCCTGAAGATGTTCCCCAGTGTAACACATTGACGATCTACGAAACGAGGATTTCTGAAAACCATATAGAAAGTTTTGATCGTCAACGTGTTTTTCGATTTAATGATTGTCCAACTCTTGATGGTCCCTGTATCTTAATGTAAATTTCTTCCACGAAGACATTGAAGGTTTCGAAGGAAATCGAGGATCCATATGTTAATCGTAAAATAACCTTATCCTAAACTATTTCACCCTACACGATTTAGCTACCTTCCAAGGACATTAATCAGCGTATAATAATAGACGAAGGTATGCAGAAGGTAATCAATGTAAGTTTCAAAGCGATATTTTTTAATCGTGTTCTCGATTACTAACGAATAAAGCATGAGTAGCCATAGAGTCGATTCAACAATAATCAAGAAGCTGAAACCTTGGAACATGTAGCGACGATTAAAAGAAGTGATTATTGTTGAAAGGTATTTGACATGAAACTTGAGCATAGAATGGTTAGCATGCACCAACAGCCTGCTACGTTTCCAACCTTATTATAAAATTTTCTCTCTACACTATATATATAAATTATATTTACTCGCTACACTGACACTACACTCGCAGCGTGAGTTCTTCTTGTCTAAAATTGAATGAGGTGTGCTCTCTCCTTCCGCACTTCCGTCGAAGGCTTACGAGAATCGTCCCTCGCTCCTGCGAAACGATCTCTTGTCAATTATTTATTTGATCCCGACCATTGTTTCTTTCAATTCCGTTACAGTCCTGTAACGACGAAAGAATCGAAGAAAATACCGACGATTTAAGCTTAGTCCTAATTTCTATCCGTTCTTTTTATTTTCGTTTTATCTCCCCCGCCCTGCCTTGTCCTCTACCGCACCACGGATTTTTCGCAGCACTAAACGTTTCATTTTGAAAACTGCAGTTGGTCTCCCAGTCTACGAATGACAGGCGAAACTGGCCAGTTGAGAGACTTCATTGAAGATCTGGGTCCTGGACAAGTTGTGGGAAGACAGGCACTGGGTGCTCGTTGTTTGGGAGGGATCCAGTTGTCGTTGACTCAGAAGAAGGGATACCTTGAAGTGGAGGTCATACGTGCCAAAGACCTTAAGCCAAAACAGGGCAGTAAAGCGATTCCAGGTTTGTATCACTTTGTACTATTTGATCCTGAAGTTTCAAAACTGCATCCTTAACATCTTAAAGCTTGAAAGTCTCAAAAATGTCCAATTACTAAAATCCCAAACTTTCAAAGTCTTGAAGTCCTAAAATTTAAAGACGTTTACAAGCATGCTACTAACTTGCTTATAAATACTTAATGAGAGCAATGTGGCTAACTTGAACCGTTTGTACTGTCCAGCTTCCTACGTGAAAGTTTACCTGGTGAACGGCAAGAAATGTATCGCAAAAGCGAAAACGGACGCGGCAAGGAAAACGTTGGACCCATTTTACCAGCAATCGTTATCCTTCAGAGAGAACTGTCGGGGTTGCATACTGCAGGTACGTGTCTCAGAAAATTCTTAGCCGAACAATTTGTGTTGATTGCTCAATGGTCGATTTCAGGTGACAGTATGGGGTGATTACGGCCGATTAGAGGGGAAAAAAGTGTTCATGGGCATCGCGCAGATCGTGTTGGACGAACTGAACCTCAATGAGATGGTGTTCGGGTGGTACAAGCTGTTCGGCAACATATCCCTGGTCAGTGGACCTCCATCCTTAGCTTTGTCCCGTCGCTCCTCGGCCACGTCCTTAGAGTCCTTTAAAATCTAAACGATCCTTCCTCTTTACACTTAACGAAACGTAGTGCAACGTTTTAACTTTAACTCCCGATGGAAAAAATATATATATTTGAGCGCGTTTATCTATAGTTTTCTCCGACCAGAGTCTCAGTAGCTGTTCGCGAACGTTCAAGACTCTCTAGAATCGTTAAGACAAAGTTAATCGTAAGTTTGATCGTTAGAGACAGAAATTTTCCGTGGAAGTTTATCGTGGTTCATGTCCGTTCCATTATCCTCCTAACACTGTTCAACGTTCGAGAAAGATCGATCGGTGAACGATCGATCGGCTCTGAATACGGTAATGTTGATTCGACGAACGCGACGTCGATCGTAGAGGAGAGTTTGCGTGGCTATATTTGGGCAAGTGCGTTGTTGCTGAACCAAACGAGAAAAGTGTGTTTTATTTGCAAGGTGACCGCGAGAATGGGATAGTGTGAAAGGTCGTACGAGAGGACATGTGTTTTCTAGAAACACCACGTATCACATATCATGTACGGCATATCAGACGAACCGCTAGTCTGTATGTAGACTAGATGTAGAGATAGCAGCCATGTCCGGAGCGCCAGATAGTTTTAGGTACGCACTGAGATCAACGCATCGTTCCTAACTAATTCGAACGAATTCACGTGGATACCTCTCTGTAAAATTTCAACGCTGTCAATGGCAAAATAGGAATTTATGCTTGCATCAAGTTCGGAGGTGTCCACGTGAAATCGAAGGTGTGTTGTTACAAGCCCCTTTGTCTTTTACATTGAACTCTTGCCTTTTATCTAGAGGAGTGCACGACCTTTGGGACATGGATTTAATTCTGCACAATTCTACAGAATATTGAAAGTATACTTCTGAAATTATAGCGTGCAACTCTTCGAGATAAGAGAAATTCACGTCTAAAGTTTATGACCTATTGGTAGTCTAGTACCCAAACATTTCAATTCCCAAATTCCTTTTCCTAGCTTCTTCAGGGGTATTGAGCTAAGTTTATACCCGATCGGTCGTGTGCTTCCTTCGCAAATTTTCTTTTCTGCTGGTAAACCTCTTCGGTTACGAAGCGACGATTCATCGTAAATCGAAACTTCGTTGCCACCGTTTTATCTTGAAAAGATGCTCGACTTTTCTCATAACTTCTTAAGAATTGAGAAATTCTGATCTTTTCAAGATAAACCCTCTTACTCCCAAGAACATTGCTTCCAAATTGACCGAAGCAAAAGTTAATTGTATGATAACCTATCCGCTGTTTCGTGTGAATTTAATACGATGACTCTCACCTCGTAATCTTGATGTTTTTTTATTAATTTTGAACACAGGTAGACACTCTTCTAATACCGCTTGGATACATGTTACCTTGTCAAACTTTGCACAGCACTGCACCCTTTCGCTACCTCTTTCAACGATTTCATCCCAATCATATCAATTTAATGATGTATGTTGATCTTTTTCTTGTTTTTGTTCTTTTAGTTTAAGAAAAAATACAGGTAAGTTTCTGCCGTATTCGGAGTCCTCTGTTCTCTTCAATGTTTCTTCTAACAAGGAATGTTACAAAAATGGTACACGTTTCTATACCGTTTTAGCGTAATGTAGTACTGTCAAAAATATTTTTTATTCTTTCCTATTAACATTCGCTTTGGAGGGGTGGAGACAACGTTGGGGTTGAAGATCCCTCCAAAGTGGATAACGAAAAGATATTTTCGAGTTCTACATCATACTAAAAGGATATTGAGCGTGCAGTTTGTATATCCTTTCTTCTAAATATTACTAAATGCAACAAGGATCCCGTCGAACCAAATTCCAAAGTTCACCCGAATTTCCTTTTTGAATTCTTGTTTCTTGTGTACATAACGAACCGTAATTCCAGATTGATCTTCTCATTGTTCCTCTTATAACGCTTCTATGTATATTACCGGCGAAAGCAACGAAACCGAAACTGATCTGTATCTTTCTGAATGTTACTTGCAGTGAAACCGATGCGGAGGTACTCGCTACGAGTTCGACAGGAATTGCAACGTGGTGTTCAGTGAGAAAGTGCCGTACAGTGGTGACTCGATCAAGTCGAAGTGAAAGAGGGAAACAGTGAAGTGAAGTTCATACGTGACGAACACTGTGAACACGTCACGCGAACGACTTAAAAAAAGAAACGCAATTTAAATACATATATAAATATAGCCACGCGTATTTCGCGACGAACATTTGCAAAACGTTTGTACATAATTTAGGACGCTCCAAGTGTTTAACAAATCGCCCAGTGACGATTTACAATGAAAATTATTAAAAATTACGGTCGCACCAAAAACCAACCAATACAGGAACAAAACTACGAACTCGTTGTCAAAGTTTTTAGCCAAGAAATATCATCGTCAGAGCGATATATATATTATTATTTATTGTAAATACTATAACAATGATATATTATATATATATATGAATTCGCGATACGTATGCGCGCAGCTGTTTAAATGACGAACAATTGCCTTGAACGTCGCGTCTTCGTTGCTCGATTGCCCGACGCTTTCGGTCTTCTATCGATTTTTAATCTATTGGTGTAATCGGGAGTTTCCCTAGCTTCGATAACACGCCAGATACGACCAAGTAGCTTTTGTCAATTTGGAAACTAGGACATCTGGGGATTCGGAAATTTGAAAATTTCGAGATTTCACGATTCGAAAGGAATATATATTTGAAAATCTAGAAGCTTCAGAATTTGTCGAACCGAGGAAATTTGAGGTAATCGGAAAAAATCTGTAAATTTGTAATATCCCACTGGTTTGGAAGACCAGTTTCTGGACCGGGCGGTCCCGAGGTAGTTAGGCGAATTCGTGCAGGACCGAGGGTCGGCAACTTGGCAACGAGACGGGAATATCGTGAATTAGCGAATTGTTGTTGAACGTTAAAAAAGTAGCCATCTTCAACTATTTTGCATGGGAGAGCGCTTGTACGTGTGTGTGTAAGTACGAGAGAAAAGCGAATGCTAAAACTATATCGACTGTCATAATATTGTGATTCTGTTAGTTTTATTTGATTGTCGGAACCTCACGATTCAGGTGTTTACGCGTACGGGGGACACAAAGCCATGTCGTACCATTTAGGACTTTATTCTCTTTGTCGACTTGCACTCGATACTTTAAAGGAAGCTCGTTTTTTTAACGTGAATATTTACTGAGAACGAACCGCCCACAATAAATCGCGTACGAGGCAACGTGCCGCGGATAAATCGTGCCCGCTGCCGATCAATATATACGAAAATAAAAATGATAAAAAAAAATAATAATAATAATATAACGAATAACGACGCTTGTTCTCGTGAGGCGAGAAAAGCAGCGTACCTCACAATCGATTTTATATATCTCTCTTAATTCTCATGTTATGTGTTCGATCTTTGTCCGTGCATTTGTCTGGGTCACTTGTGAACACAATTCCGATGAGCATGCACGTGTACATAGATTGTCTAGCATTAAATACCTGATCGACGAACGCGACTTCTTTGTTTCTTTTTAGATTGTGCTTGCAACGTGTACATACGGTCAATCGAATTTCATATGTGATAATTCTATCGTTTTATTCGACATTGATTTCGAATTGGTGTCTACTACGTATTAAATAAAAATAAAAAGACATGATTTGAAGACAAAATTATTTAATTTCATGTTATATTTCGAGAAGTTTATTCCTCGTTTGCTGCTCTCAGTAAGGTACTCCTTGGATCCACATTAATAAAATACAAATTTCTTTCTATTTTTTCGTGAACAATTCGACGGTCTATTTTTTTACATCTCTAAACTCAAACGCTTGTGGAAATCTCAGATTTTGCGAACTTCGACAAACTCGAACTGCGATTCGTAGTCCAAGAGAAAATTTTTAAAAAGTAATTGGCGGTGTAATTCGATTAACGTTTAAAAAAAGAAAGGTTTGGTCGCGTTTACAAGAGATTGAAAAGTTCAGTTCTTTTTTACTCAGGAACAAATACGAGATACGGTGTAGAGAATGTGTAAACTTAGGAGCGAGCAAACGAAGGATCTATGGCGATTTCTAAGTAAACATTTTGCAAGTGCATGATCTTATATTAGTGGACACTTGGGACGACTAATTAACCACACGAGAAACTGTAAACTCTGTATTAGTGGATAACGCTCTCGATAAACTCCGACGAAAATATAAAAGACTACGAATTATGTAACACGTTCAGTTTGTAATATGCCGGTTACACGCTGCTGTAAGACTCTTCGTGAAGTTTTATCGCTTTAGAAAATATTTCCGTTCAAACCTTGAAATTTTTAATTAGAAATATCTTACAATATTTTTTCTTTTAATATTAAGTGAAATTGTATAATTTAATAACTATTACAAAATTTTGCGAAAGAATTTCACGAAGGTCTTACAGTTGCGAATTACTAACGCTTACGATATAAAATGCATACCCTATACAAAATGTAGGACTTTCATAATTAGCCGGTGAAATTCCAAAAAAAAAAATGAAAAAAAAAGAATGAAAAAATAATGGGAGAAACGGGTTTGTTTTTTATACATATCGGTAATCTGGAGATTAACGAATGTAGAAGTTTCTTGGGAAAATTGAAAAACCGGTGAACAGGATGCAAACGAGTGATAAACTCCTTTTCTTTAGTGGTTTCAATCTAATTTCTGCCTTGATTTTCTTCGCAATTTTTTTTTAATAAATAAAATTTTTCTGTATTGTATACTGTATTAATTTCGTAATGTACTACAAGTTTAATTTTTTGAACTATATTTTAAATTAAATCGAATTGAATCATGTATTATAGCATTCGCTACATGTACCTACCATCCACGTAATTCATACCAATATTTTTATTTATTTTACCCAGTGAAAATCCAAAATCCTCAGTAAATATATTCCTCAAATTATAGCATATTCTTTCACGAATTAAAATTCTGATATGAGTTGAATGTAAAAAGTATTGAATCTCGTTAGAAATAAGGCGAAGAAAACCAAGGTGATGTTCGTTTAATTTTCACACTCTTGCCATGCCCATTTGTACATAGGCATGCTCAATCTTAGGATCGAACACGCATCGTGAATCACGTATATATATATACATATACATACGAATAGTATTAACTACGAAAACCAACAAATTAATATCGGACTTTGTACCTATATACTTATTAATTAACTTAAACGAAGACGAAGAAACGGTTGGAGGGAAACAAGAAACTTTCGAACAAATAATATAATATCGAGTCGTATAAACACACGGGTGAACGGAGGAGAAAGAGGGGTAGGGGGAAGGGGGAATACTAACGTCAAACAAAAACCGAGTACGAAAAGAACATAGAAAAAGTAACTGATAATACAAATCTGCACGGGATGCAAAGAAAAAAAACTTCGAGAGCCAAGGGGTACCACTTTTGTCAAATTTAGAGAGCCAATTTAGGTTTACGATTACGATATAGGGTGTGCGAGATAGAACGAGTGCGAGAATTTAGCGAGTAAGAGAGAGAGAGAGAGAGAACAAACAAACTGAGGGAACTGTCAACGATTTCTTTACAATGAAAATTCATTACTTACTTGAAACTTCGTAGTCGCGACTCTAAACGATGTGTAGCGTCGAGTGTTCCTGTAATCTTGCGTCGAACGGCCACGATCGATTGCCTGTCTTCAATTCGTCACCTTTTTTTCGCATTTTTGTTCACCAAATTACGAAGAACCGCGCACAAAACTACGTAAATCGAACGTACGATCGTTTGGACGAAACTCAGGAATCCTCGTAGTCTTTTCCGATTGGACAAGCCCTCGGTCACGTGACCGTGACGTAATAGTTCACGCGGTTCCCGCGCGGATTTGGCGCGAAGATATCGGCGCGCGCATCGATCGTAAGATCACACGAACACTGACTGTCGGGAATGCATCGTTCCGTTCTATGCGCTCGACGATTACACACACGGTTTCTAATTTACGCCACGCGACAAACGTCCGGATTTATTTTGCAAATACGGAAGGGGAAGGAGTGCGGGCGAGAGAGTATGGGTTGACACGAGAAAAAATTGCGTCTTTTTCGTTAACAAAATGAAGAACAAATGAAGAAATACAATGGCGAAAAGAATTTAAACAGTACGATTAGACGACGTTCCGTGAAAAAAAAAAAAAAATAAACAGAACTCGACCGAGAACTCCTCCGATTTTTTCTTAATTTCTTTTTTCCTTCTGGAAATATGTCCAGGATCGATGCGGATCCTCGACGCGAAACCGTTTTTAAAAGTAGTTCTGTATATATCCGCTGGGACGAACCAGTCGGTAAGAAGTTGCGAGGGAAGCACTGCTAACGATTCGAGGAGTTCATGGCGGGATCTACGCGGAACGATTAATATAAAGCGTTAGTGACTGTATCCAGTATAATATATCTGATAAAAGATACCCCCGATGCCAGACATGGCGTGTGACAATAAAGTGATTCAATGATCTCGTCGCATTTCAATCGCAGCCACCTTTCACGATTCACACAGGCACACACTTATATACACATCTCTACACACACACGAGAGACACACGTGCATATAGACATGTATATTTTAACGCGAAGAAAATAAAAAACGAGAATGGTTTTTTTTGTAAATTACGAAGAGAGACAACACCGCCGGAAATATTCAACGATCACGATGTATAAAAGAAAGTATCTCATCGTTTTCCGATTACTCGTTACTCCGCTGTTAATTGATAATGTCAGTAATATTTTTAACAAAATAAAGCTACCTTATTCAAAGCTGACCGACTGACTTTTCAACTCGCGAACTTTTAATACTCCCCATTGATTTAATTACATTTAGAATTACACGAATCATTCTGATTTTCGTACTGATTTAGTTATTGCATGTTTCTAAATTTTATATAAATACGCACTTCAGAAGTAGCATTGTGTCCCTCTAGCGACGACGAGAGACATTACGGAAGCTTCTCGAATGCGTAGGCTTAAATGACAATATTGCTAGCAGAAATTTGTATAACTTGTAGACTTAAATATGTTATTCATGAATAATCATACGTCATTTAATAAGAATACAAAAATTAAATTACTACATAAGAATCCTTGTACTACTGAAGATAATATAGAGGACTTCCTAACTCTAGGTCGATTCAAATTTAGCGCGACAACGAAAGAAGTAGTTCCAGAATCCGCCACTAGAGGGCACAGCATGTACGAAGGAATAACCGCCGCTGCTAACGTCGCAGTGTTCGAATGGCGCGTAACGTACTCGTGAGTTTTGCAAATCAGTGTGATTATAAAAGTAATTTGTCGAGTAATAATTTATATTATCGCGTGATATGTAGTGCGTTTTGTAGTCATAAAAGTGTACAATTACGGAGTGTGTTCGCGTTGAGAACAGTGTTCGTGTTCAAGACGAAAATTGTGGATTAATATTCTTCAACTACGGTCGCACGAATGACAGCGCTGAGACGCAATTCCATTTGGATTATCAGCAGTTTTCTACTTGATCATCGGTTTTCGTAAAGGTTTGTGCAGAATTTTAACTACAGAGGATATTATCAATCGTATTTTGTTCCTTTAATAAGTGACACTGTACTTGATTGCAGATTAATATTCTCCAACTACAGTCGCACGAATGAGAACGCTGAGACGCAATTCTACTTCGATCATCAGCAGTTTTCTACTTGATCATCGGTCTTCGTAAAGGTTTGTGCAACATTTTAACTACAGAGGATATTGTCAATCGTATTTTGATCTTGTAACGAGTGGCACTGTACTTCATAATACAATACACGATACCGCGTACAGAGTGTTGCTTCGCGTGACCGTACAAGTATCGATTGAACGCATTCGGAATACGACAGTCACATTTTATAGCATTATGTTATTACAGTGCCATTCGAATATATAACGTATAGTACTTAAGATCGGATCTTCCGTGACCTAGTATTCGTGTGTTTATCTGACGTATCAAAAATATTGGGGTTTCGTACCGCAGCTGTTATTTCCCGCGAAATTCGCGACACGGCGTCGCGTCGTTTAAACGCGGTTCCGCGTCTCCGTAGCTTTATTACGGTAATCCCATGGCGTCGATAAGCCCATTACCGCGTGTCTCAACCGATGCCTGGCTAATGTATGCACCGTAACGTAATAAAAATCGACTTACACGGAGGTAGAAGCTTGTCCTTTTGCCACGTAAGCGTGTAACCAGCCGCTTTCTATCGGGCGGCACGCTTTTAGGTGTCGCTAAAAGTTTAATCAAAGTCAGATTAGCCGGGTCCACGACGGGGGAAGGGGACCCTGGCGTTTTATTAAACGGGACTTGATTAGGGGTTGCCGGGATCCTTTCAGAGTTTGTTTTCGACTGGTTTTCCGCGCAGCCGCTTTCATTACCTGCCTGTTTCTCGCGTAATTGACGCGGTCGTTTAGGGAGCGACAAAAATCTGCCCACTCTGTATACCGTGTTAATACGCGTTTCTGTAAGCCGGGAAATTACGGATTATTCCTTTTAATCCTCCAGTATAATCGTTCGAACGTATTTTTTAAGAGATGCAAATTGAGATATGTCACTTTTCATATGTCGTAGTAATTGAGATAATATTGAAAGACTTATCGGTGCGAATCAATGATATAGTAGTACAAAGTGGATTAATTTTTAAGGCTTGCCAGACTGGTAAGCGTGATAACGGTCGCTTAAAGACCGAGCGATTATGGGGTAACTCGACATGAAACACGTTTAAGTATCTATCTACCGGATGGTCGAAAGTGATTCCAGTTTCCTGGTAATCCCTGTAATCCCGGGAGTATTCCAACTTACCCTAAGGGAATGTTTGCTGGTCTGCTCTCCTTGGTGTGATAATCGATTTTGGTCTTTTTTAGGGTGCAATGATCCTTTCATAGCAACTTTTGCTACTTATATACTTATATCGTTTATATTGCAATACGAGTATAATACGTTAATCTCTAAGAATTATAGGTATAATAGGTATCGTACGTATATGTATATGTATATGTATGTGTACATGTACATGTACATGTACATGCATATGTATCTGTATATGTATGTGTATATGTATGTGTCTGTATATGTATGTATATGTATGTACATGTATACGTATATATGCATATGATATGTTATATTTGGATGTTCAACTATATTAAATCACACGTTGTCATAACAATTATTATTTTAAGCGACCGAATTTCATAAGCATTCAATTATAAAACGTAGAGTTTTCTATGAGATTTAATTATAACCTTCATTCTTGCCAACACGTAACATATCGATTAAGTGTAGCTCGCGATATTAATTCTTTCCGTACGATGGGACTGATCAAAAAAGGGGATGAAAGAAAAGTGTGAGGAGAGGGGTATTCAGGAAAGAGACGAATGTCACCAGGGGTTCGTCGTAACCGCGCGCAATAACAACCCTCGGGAAACCGTGGGGGCAAAGGTTGACGCAGTGCCGCCAGTGTTTACGTCGAAGGGACCTAGCTCGACTCCGCCCTCTGCCACCCTCTTCGTCTCTGGCTTAACGCTAATGAATCTGATTTGCATCTGATCCCGACCGATCTTCGATCCTCCCTCGATCGACCCACGATTATTTAAGGACGTGCGTCGTACGGTCTCGTGATTAATTACGAATATCTGTTACGGACTCGCCTCGTTTTACGCCTCGTGATTTTGATATTTTTCTGCTTTGTCCAGTGGAAGCAAATTTAATTCCCTGTCTCTTTGTCATCGTTTACGAAAACACCGCGAATAGCGTAGGATTATGTGTGAAACAATGGGTCAATGGTCCTTCGAGGTTATTTGACGGTTTACAAACGACAGCGTTTTGTACGAATTTGTCTAGTGCGACAGAGTTCAAAGAGAAACGAGAAAATCTCGTAGCCGTGAATTCGATAAATCTTGAGCCATCGAACGAACTCATTTATCGCGCGAGGCGAAATGAAACACAGCATCGATTCGGCTTGTCCGGGGTCGTTTAAAGAAACGCCGGAGCTCGTTCGGCGTTGAATTACGAGGGAATAATTAGAGAAAAGTAAACCAAGCGTCGATTTATGGTCGTGTATCGGATTCCTCTATTCCCGTGGAAGATTTACGTAGAAAGATCAACGAGGATCCTGCGGGATTCGTTACCTCTTTTCCTCGGCAGGTTCGTGTTTAATGGGCGGGGTGCCCTGCGGATACTTTCACGCTGCCCCGCCTCCAATGCTATCGCGTTATTGCTCGGACACGAAAACTTATCGTTCCCTTTTTCTCCTGTTTTCCTCGGTTAAAAGGACCACAAGATACGGCTGTATTTTCAACGTTCCCAACTTTTTTCCCCTCTGCCGGGACGTAGCGAACTGGCAATTACGCGAGATAACGTTTGCTGTTTCTAGACGATTAACGACGTTGTTTAGCCGTTTCTTCGGGATCGCAAAGAAACTTCTAGCTGGGGCAATTAAGCGATTCGAGTCGTTGTTTATCGTCACCGGGCCGTCGTATCTTCTTATATACGGAAGCTTTAACGCTTCGAGTGCCCATATGGGGGTGACTTACGAACTACCACGTGGATCTGTCACCTGTTATAACGGGAGCGGTCTTACTCAGCTGGTTACTGCTCTGCGGATTGTATATCTCTGATAGATCAGCAAGGTACAGATAAATTCAACACAGAGATCTCACATATCTATGGACGAATATAGAAAATTTTTATGGTCTCGTTTTCTATTTTGTAAGTTAGGAAGTAAGACTATAATTCAGAGACTGCGACATGTAATAACATTTGATCAAATACCTCGACAAGAGGTATACCTCGATAATAACCTCTGAAGTAGTGAATAAATTGTTATAAAAATTATGTTGTGAGATTTTGTTGAGATTCAGATCTATTTACTTATTAGTGAACATCTACCGTATGTTAATGTACATCTATCATTAATGTACATCCACCGTAATCTCTAAACCTAGGTCGAAATTGCAAAAGAAAACTAACAGCAAAGAACCTCTAGGTGTTCGATCATTCGCAATTTAATTAAAAACGAAGGTTTCTGTTCACCCTTCTCACCCTGTTCATTTATCGTTCACCCCGGGTCATACTTTCGATATTAACGCGACCGCAATGACGCCAGGGTTCGGCAGCACGTGCTGCTTAGGTAACCACTCGAATCATAACGCCATGAAATAATGATTTAACGTTTGATTAAATTTTAACGCGCACGGGGCGTTTTCCTCTTTCTTTCTTTACCCCGTTTAACAAGTTCGAGGGTAAACTTGGAAATTCGGGAGTCGAAAAGGGGGATTCCAAGCAAATATTTGACCCGGTTACGATCTGGTTAATCCAATACGATCGAACAAACACGTGCACGTGCTGCTAAATGGTTTCTGTCGTTAAACGATCGTTGCGGGTTTCGACGTATTTACTCGCGGTTTATCGATTTTATTTGTTTAGGACTCGGGGACAAAGCATGGAGTTACGGTTAAAAATCAGAAACGCAGAATCGCTGTGTATAATTCGACGATTTTCGGTACGTGAGAAGGGAAAGGGATTTCGGGAGCACGTGGCAGAGGAGAATGAATTAAAATCGCGCCGGGTCATCGCCGAATATTCCGTACTTAATCACGCCGCTTGACACGCGGGATTACATCGTGCATATAATCGGATAGAATGTCGTATATTAGATTTCGTGGAGATTGAAACTATCCTCGACTAACGATTATTGCGCCTTAACTCGGTCGATGTAACTTTCAAGTATTAGTTAAACCCATCGATATAACTTTTCTTTGTTCTTAAACCCCTTCTTCTGGATTTTGTTGTTCTTCGGTATTAACCCCTTGCACTGTGACTTATTTGTCAGGTGCGCCAGTCAGAACTGCCCAATTATAACATTAAAATAGACAAAAATATTGAAATGTAATTTCAATATGTTATTACTCAATTGTTGACTATGCAAATTATAATTGGACTCGAACTCCAAATAGAAGCGTATTAAAAATTTGAGTAAAATTGATCACGGCCTAGGTACGAGTGCGTCAGACTCGTCAAAATAGTGTAAAGGGTTAATCGAAAATAGTCATGATTCTCTGTGATCTAATTTGTTAGCGTGTTTGTGAAACTTTCCTGTTAGTAAAAATCAGAATTTAACATCGACAGTATCATCGGTGATAATTAAGTTTGTCAACCGGTTACCCGAATAAAACACTAAAAATCTCGTATATTCAACGTGTAACTGCGTTCTGAGGGGTCATAGAAATTTATGGGGTACGGATATATACGATTCCGTGAAATCGGGATTAAGAAACCCGTGGAAGCACGGGTCCCGGTGGATTACGCGTGTTTACCCGGATTTTTCTGGAAGGGGCGCGCGTTCCCATATATATCCCGTGTCTCCTTTCACGCTTATAAATAAGTGGCCGCGACGCGTGTGGACACGGTACCGCGTTTTTCCCCGAAAAACTCGAATTTACCGAGCTCCTATAACGATCAAGTTGTCATGGACGCGATCGTTCGTTTCCAGTTCATAAAGTCCCTTCTCGTACAATAGTGGCTAACTAGGCGTGGTTCGCTCTGAAGAGGGTCACCTGGTATATTATGCGATGTAACTGTGTGCGCGTATAGCCTGTCTCACAGCAACATCCTTTGACAGGTTGATATCCCGGTTACACGAATGTAACGCGTGTCAAGAGCGCCAGTTCTTTCTGTCATGAACCCCTGAAGA